ACATAGGCCGTTTGTTTGTCAATGCCACACCGTGGACACAAATTTATTTTGGCGGAATAACCAGCGCTGGGCATGACTTGCTAACTCGGTAAGTTGTATGTATACCATCTTGCAAACTAACTTCATAATAATGATAAACATTTCCAAATGTATATGTAGTCTGAACACTAGGGAGGCTGGTCTCACATTGACGAAGCCGTTATTAGGAGAGGTCCCAGAAGTTGATCAACTGACAATAGCTGAGGCCAACAGCTTCGCAGTCCTCCATCCCTTTGAGGTATATTAACTATCGTGTTGATGTCTTTTTAGTTATCTTTGGCTCTGACTATATTGTTTTAATCACATCAAGAACTCGGAGAAGAAGGTTCTCGCTAGGAAGAATCTTAAAAGAAAGATTAAATCCATTGACTTTGCTCGCAAGTTACAGTCTATTCTCATCAAGAAAGTCAGGTATTGGAGAGTTTTATGGGTTTTTTCTAAAAGGTTTTTGCTTTGGTTTTGAGTGAGTTAGGTATGAGAAAAAGGTTGAGACTTTAGTAAAGAATGTAGAGTTTAGGTTCTGTTTTTTTGACCTAAAAAAGGTTAATTAATGGTTGTTCTGTTTGGTTTGTGTGAGTTATGTGGAATCATGTAATCACAGTTGATCTTTTTGTGAAATGTTTTAGGGTTGGTTTTGAATGATTTAGGTATGAGAAAAAAGGTTGAGACTTTAGTGAAGATGCTACAAGCCTACAAGAACATAAACTTTAGGTTCTGGTTTTGGACTATTGTTGCAGAATAAGCTTAATGGTTGTTCCGTTTGGTTTGTGAGATGTCTGGAATCATGTGCTCATATTTGATTTGTTTATGAAATGTGTTTGGGTTTGGTTTGAGTAATTTAGGGATGAGAAAAAAGATTGAGACTTTAGTGAAGATGCTACAAGAACATAGACTTTAGGTTCTGCTTTTGGACTGTTGTTGCAGAATAAGCTTGATGGTTGCTCTGTTCGGTTGGTGAGATGTTTCGGAATCATGTACTCATATTTGATCTGCTTATGAAATGTTTAGGGTTGGTTTTGAATGATTTGGGTATGAGAAAAATGTTGAGACTTTAGTGAAGATGCTACAAGAATATAGACTTTAGGTTCTGCTTTTGGAGCATTACTGTAGAATAAGCTTAATAGTTTTTCTGTTTGGTTTGTGCTTCAGTTTAACTTCCTACTCTAAATCTCACTCCCTATGGTTCACATTTGTATTTAGGCAGCAGTTCATGAAACGATGTTCGTATTTTTTTCTCACTATCATAGCTCCAAGTTCCTTTCTTTCCTATTAAACTGTGTTAGACATTAATACGCTTAATACAAGTTCTTTTGTTCTTTACTTTGTTTTTTCTTACTATCATAGCTCTGAATTCCTTTTCTCATTTCATGGCAATTAGCTAATGATTAATCTAAATCTTTGATTTTTTTTTCAGTGTGAAAGTTATGAATTGAATGGTTTTAAAAATAAGATAAAATTATGAGTGGTTGTACATTTTAAAAAGTTATGCGTCGAGACTTATATAATTCAGATAAATGAATATTTAGATCATGGGTCTAAATAGTTGGGATGTAGGTGTAGAGAATTTGCTGTAAGTTTTTAATGTAGAAAGATATTAGAATATTTAAACCAGTGTTTTAAGAAAAACTATATTTTAAAAGGATTGTATATCTGAAGGTGAGGGTTAATTAAATTATTAAGAGAATAACTGGAAACAAAATTTATTAAAAAAGGTGAAGTTTTTACAATCCAACCAATCAAACACATAACTAAACTTTAATCTTTTTATTTTTAATTTTTTCTCACCACCTTATATATAATTTCCAATAACAAAAGTATCAGAAATTTTAATATTAATTTTTTTTTGAAATTTGTAAGACAGAAAAAAAATAACAGAAACTAATTTTATAATTATCAAGCTATTTATATTTTTGTCATATATTATAATATTTATATATCAACATAAACATATATACAAAATATATAACTATATATAAAACCCGGGCGTAGTCCGGACCGGCCCTAGTTTTATATATATACTAGTTTTTGATCCGCCATTTAAAAGGACGGGTATTTTTTTGTTTTAATTTTTTCGAGAAACTTAATTTTTATATTTCTGTTATTTTTAAGCATATTTGTTTTTAATATTAATTTGATTTAACATAATTTTTTGGTAATTATTATATTAAATATGTCAAATTGCATAACTATACACTTATGCCATATGCATTCAAAACTAATTTTAAATTTTATTCTTAAAATTTGCAACATATTATATTTTTTTATTAGTTACATAACATAATTAGTCAAGAATATTTGTACCTAGAAAATCAGACTCGATATTGATCCAAAATCAAAGTCTCATATTCTATTAGATCCGGCATATATATTCTAACAATTCTTAAAGTTTTACATCCGAAAACCAAAATCAAATCCAATCCGTACTACAAGATCAATCAAAATTATTAAAAATGTTTGAAAAAAATAATTTCTACTCATCCCTAGAATAAAAAAAAATTACATCCGAAAACCAAAGTTCTTAAAGTTTTACATCCGAAAACCAAAATCAAATCCAACCCGTACTAAAAAATCGATTAAAATTTTTGAAAAATGTTTGAAAAAAATAATCTCTACTCAAACCTAGAATAAAAAAAAATACAATCTAGTGAAAATAAGCTTAAATTTTTGAATATTTAACATCCTTTCTGAGTTTCTGTTTTATATAGAACAACCAAGAGAAGAAATGGGATGAGATTCGTATAATATTTACAAACTAATATTTTGGTATTTTAATATTAATCAAACAGTGAATTGTTCATAGAAACCAGTAAATTTTTACACGGTAGAAAACGTTAAGTTATTAAAGCCAATTGAAATTTATTTAGGAAATACGGTGGAGATTACATAATATGAATCAATGTACAAAGTAGTTATTATTATAAAACGATATAAATAAAGTTGGACTCAACTATTATCAATAGGACATGATTTAGAATTAATAGTATTATATATATATATATATATATATATATATATTTTTTTTTTTTTTTTTGACAATTACCGACAATCACCTCTGTTAGCAATGTGTGTGGGCTTTGAGGGCTTTGTGGTTGTGTAAAGCCATTAAAGCCAAGTATTTGCCAATCACTTCTTTCAGGCTTTAGAAATTTGTAAAGCCACCAAAGCCCACTTTAAAAAAAAACTGTTTTTTTGTTCATTTTTTTCTAAAGCCACCTTTTGAGACTTTACAACACACTCTTTTTTTTTTGCTATGATAAAAAAACGTGATTTATTTTTATTTTTGACTTTTTTCTCATTTCTTACTAAAATAAAAGAAATAATAAGCATAATGATTAATAAATTCATTTTTATTAGTTAGTTTAAGTTTTACCATCAATAAAAAGTCATATCTTACTATTAATAGACTATTAATTTGTTGAAGACTAAAAAATATAAATAATTGAAAACATTTAGGATAGATTCAAAAAGTATAATAAATGAAAGAAAAATAAATACAATGATTTATAAATTCATTTTCATTAGTTAGTTTACATTTTACCATCAAGAAAAAATCACACCTTACTATTAATAGACTATTAATTTGTTAAAGACTAAAATTTTTTGTATAAATAATTGAAAACATTTACGAAAGATTCAAAAAGTATAATAATTGAAAGAAAAAATAAATACAATGATTTATAAATTCATTTTCATTAGTTAAATTAGGTTTTACCATCAAGAAAAAGTCATACTTTACTATTAATAGATTATTGATCTGTTAAAAACTAAAAATATTGTATAAATAACTGACCATGATGAAATTGCAAACAACGTATGGGCTAGAACCCGTTAATTTTTTAATAATTTTTTTTGTTTTATCTAATAAATTTTAAATTATTTTAAATTTAAATTTGAATAATTTTTATTTATTTAATAAATTATTATCTTATTTTAAATTTAATAAAATAATTATGTTGATTACAATTTCAAATTTTTACAATAAAGAAATAAAATATATTGTTGATAAATTTGATTGATTTTCTGTTTTTAAGCTACCCAATATATTTTATAAACTTGTATAAATAAAAAATAGGTAATACATTTTTAAAAATGAATTATAAACATATATTTATAACATTCATAGCGTCTAAAGCTTTGAGTACCAATCATGCTTTTAACTTTCTCTAAAGCAACAGTTACAGCCTTTAAAGCCAAAATCTCTACAGCCACAATTCTAAAGTCAAAGCCTAAAGCGAAAGTCATTACCAATCGGACCCCTTTTCAGACAATTGATTTTGTCGGTAATCTGTCGATTATATGTCTGTCAGTAAATCATCTGTAATTCTGATAAAATATCGATCAATATTTTTTTGACGAGATAGAATCGACGGATGATTTCCATCGGAAATAGTCAACATCAACACATTTTCGGAGAGTTTTTCGTTGGAATTCGGTTGTTTTTTTTGTAGTGTCATCAAACTGGATAATATATTTCTTTTCTCTGAACATATACACGAGACGTCCGTATATGATTTTTTTCTATTTACAAAAATGTTATCTTCTGTTTGTTTAGAATTTGTGTAAAATGTTTTGTTGGAGATGGATTATACATTTATACGTGTCTTTCCGCAAGGTTCATCATGTTAGAACATTTCCAACGGCAGTATTTAGAGAATTTTTTTTTTAAAAATAATTAAATAATTAGTAGATCCTATAAAAAGTTAAAGATTCGATCCTTAAAATTCTTAATAAGAATTGTTTCTTAATGAATCCTTATACTATTTGTGAGTCTCCACGACACGTGGCGACCCGAAATTTGTTAATATTTTTTTGTAATCTGAAAAAAACAAAAAAAAAATAATTAAAATTAACAAAATATTTTTTTAAGAACTCCAACACCGTTTGAGATACTCTCACATGACAAAAATATACCTTTTTGTTAAACTTTTAACAAAAACAAAAGAGACTTAGTTACGTGTGAATCAAGGATCCCCTGCCAAAATTAGAAAATCACCATCTCTGACAAGAGCGATATCGTCAATTTCAGCTCCTTCTCTTGTTAATACTTTGGTTGGCACGAAACCCATCTTTTTCTCACCAACCTCCAATAGCTCTTCCATAGAATCAGGCAATAATATTACTTTTCCACCCATTTCACCGTTTTGTTGCGAGCTAATCGTCACTCTCGCCAGATAAAACGCACCTCCTCTTCCTGGAACTGCTGGGCTTCTTGTAGTTTCTCCTCCATCATCACCTGTACAAAACGGAACAGTGTAAGTGATTGTAGGGGTTTTAGGGTTAGGGTTTGGTTTTAGACTATTCGATGTGAAAATATGGTTACGTGAAGAGAAAGCAACCAGTATTAGAGAACAAAGAGAGAGAGGCTGAGGCGATTTACCGGTATTTGCAGCTGATATAATTCCGAAGAGAGAGTTTCTGAAGTTACTGAGTTTCCGTGTCTGAGAAACAACAAGCTGGCCTCCCTCTTGGACAAGAGGCACTTCTCCTGAATGTGGCAATGTAGGCTCACTGCTATGTTTCATCAATGGCTTTCCTGCGACAGGAAACTCAGGTGTTCCAGGTACATGTTTAGGTTTCTTCTCCACGGGCCTGTGATCATGAAACAATGTTTTGATGTCTTCATGCCCTTGATGCTCGGCAAGACCTCGAGGAGTCCAACCGTAAGAATCCGGCATGTCCAAATCAGCACCTTTGTCTAATAAGAACTTCACGATCTCCACGTGTCCTTCTGTAACTGCTTTGTGTAAGGCTGTGGTTCCGTTTCCATCAGGGACTGTGACGTCACCGCCGTATTTGATTATGTCTTTGAGAGCGTCTAAGCTGTTCTTCTCCACGGCTAAGCACGAGAAATAGCTTGCTGAGTCTGAGCTTAGCTTTGCCCCGTTTTCTGCAAGGAGTTTAGCGATTTCTCCATGTCTTCCTATGATTGCTTCCCACAAGGGTACATTACCTTCGGAATCTGTAACCAACGTTTGAAGCACAAATGAATTAAATTTACTTTTAATCGAACTACATGACTGTAGTAGTGAGACATGTAGACTACTTACCTCTAATGTTAGGATCTGCTCCATGTTCGAGAAGTAAAACGATGCAATAATGGCTTCCTCTTGATGCTGCTATATGCTGAAATATGCAGAGAAACATAAAGATCGAGTAAGCAAATGATGATGATGGTCAGGGCCCGTCCTGGATAAAACCGAGATGAAACATTGGCCTTAAACCTCCAAATTTTTTAAAGAAAATTACATAGATATAGACCCCATATTTATAAAAAAAAAAAAATTAGTTGAACTAAATTGCCTACAGCCTCCTAAACTTTAGGCCGGCCTTGATGATGGTATATATATACAAAGGAATTAAACTGTGTACCAATGCGGTTCGCCCGTTCTTATCCATTTCATTAGGGCTTGAGCCTCGTCTAAGTAACTGATGCAGCAATAAATCGTCTCCTCTTGATGCAGCAAAACACAAGCTGAGAGGTAAATCCATTTTCCCTTGAGCCAACATGTGTTCTGTATCAGCCAAAATCCCTTTCATCACTGGATCTTCTGATTCTTTTAAATGCTGGCATCAACAAGATGAGAAAAAGTTGATTTATCAGATTAAAAGAAAAAATCTTTTTTTTTACATACCTGAAGAAGATTATTCATGATAATTGCTCCATCTCCCACGTTTGCCTGAACAAGATTTAAGAGTGTAGTTCGATTCAGACGAAGCAGCTGGCTCAATCGCTTGGTCCGAACAGTAAACAGCTGTGGTCTGTAACATAGTACCCCAACTTCACCAAACACATTTCCTCTCTGTGCTTCCTTAACTACCTGTTTGACAAATATGTTTTAATAATTGCAACAATGTTTAAGAACACAACTAGATCTTAATGGTAGTAAACTTGCCTGCTCCACTCCATTCACACGTGCAATAATTTCCTGCCGGATAGAGAATTGTATAGTGAATCATACAAAAAAAATTGTAAGAGTAGAGAACATACTATAAAACTGATCAACACTTACAACGGCTCCGGTTACCAATATGTAAAAATCTGTTGGTGCTTCATTCTGCAAAATCACATCTTCTTTGGGAGGAAAATACTCTGCTTTCATTTCCGTGACCTGCACGACACAATAGGTTAAGACTTTTAACATGATTTTAGACATAGAAAGTTATCAGATCAACATACCAATTGGAAAAGAAGATCGTTGGATATTCCATGGAACAAGTAAATGTTATCCACGACTTCATAAAACAGATAATGCGATATACTAGAGCGAATAGCTTTAGGGAGTGAATCGATGATTTCTTGCTGCTGTAACCCTTCTGAATCGGTTCTGTACCTCAAGCACAAATGAGCAACCATCTGATCTTGCAAACGTACTGGTAGATTATTCCTCTGTCCAAACCCTGACGCACCTTGAATAGTATCTCTCTGAAAAACAACGCACACAAGACTCATAAAAAGCTCCAAAGAGACCAGTTTAGAACATCTTTTATTTACTTACGAATTTTCTTGTGCGACTAGTGACGTGAACCACAAGGTTGGTCATGTTACCAATGATATAAGCTGACAATCCTAGGTTAAAGACCATGTAGAAAAGAATAAAAGTCATCTCTCTTGAGTTAACACCATGTATATCACCATAACCCGTTGTGGAGAAAGTAGTAATCGACCAATACATGGCCGTGTTATACTGCAAAGCGAGAGGAGACTGCTTCCAATTCTCATCGGTTAATGCCATAAACGTCTTGGAAGGGTCTGGATAATGCGAAGCAATGGAATAGAGGAAGCAAGCACCACAATGAATCACAAAAAGAGTACAAAGGAGAAGCTTCGTGGACCGAACCCAAAAGTAGCTGTATCTCCTATCTTTCTCTAACCTTGCGAAACAGTTACTAACTCTCCTAAGACGCCAAAGACGCAGCATGCTGAAAACACCATACCCTTCAGGGAAAAAAGTGCCTAGACTCTCGTAAGGAAACGTGGACACCACGTCGAAAACGAGCCATGTCGAGGCGTATCTCCAAGCGATTCTTTTCGGATCGTCGATGAGGAGGTAAGTTGCCTTGTCGAGGAAGGCAACGAAGAATGTTAGGATTATATCAACGGCGAAGAAACCGTTGACGACGTTGTCGAGGATGCTGAGAGGCGCTCTAGGCTTCTGCAAGAAACCGAATTCGAAAGGAGACGCCCATGCTGTGTAGAGCACCAAGAAAACCAGAAAGGTCTCCCACGCTCTGTAACGATGGTCGAAAGGAGAGATGATGAAGCGACGGAGAGAGGAACGGGAGGTGGCTCCGAGAGAAGGAAGAAGGCCTTTGCTAAGGCTGTATTGGCTCATTGTCCCGTCTCGTGACATATGGTCTGCCACGTCATCCTCCGGCTCCTTCTCTTTTCCTCCTCCTTTGTTGTCGTTGACGCCCCAAAACCATACCTTCTTCTTATCCATTTAGATTTGGAAATATTTTTTTGTCAACGTTAGATTGTGATTTTATTGTTGTTGCATGAGAAGAGACATAATCAAAAATTAGTTTTTGATCTCCTCTGTTTTCGCAGGTTCCTAATTTTCTGCTTTATATATATCTTTGCTACATTTGTTTTCTCTCTCTCTCTTTTAGAAGACTTTCCCTCATTTTTAGATATTTTCTTTCATTTTTTGTTAAGTTTTTTATAATTTTTTAAAAGCATAAAGGTTATAATATTCAAACCATTGTATGTTTATATAAACTTGACATACAAGTTAACTTATAAGATATCAAACCATGCATTGTTAACTCCTTTCAGACTTCGTTCTCATTAACAAAAAAGCAGAAACAATCTTCTTTTAAGTCTCTACAAATACATAGGAAAGCAAAGAACACAGAGCATAGTCCCATCAAAATAATTAGCTCAAAATCTATCTATCCTCTCTAGTCCGAAACCGATAGAACACGATGCATTCTAAAGTGACGAGGGACACTCCCCAGAAGCTGAGGAGACGATTCTGCATTCCCACTGATCCCATCTTTACACCTACACAAACCAATCATTCTACACCAAATCTCCTTCGTTGCACCACCACTATGTTCTTTCCACAAAACCGCCAGCTTCCCATAATACTCCGCCAACCCAACAGATCTAACCTTTTTTAGATGTTCCAAACCAATCACCACTCTCCACACCGTCATCTCAGTGTCATACCACATCAACCCAAATCTACCGTAATAAACGTAGAGCACATTATCGACCACACATGCACCCGTTTTCCACCACTCGTCGATCATCAACTTAAACTCCGTGCAAGAACCGTCCCTAGTATCGTAGCAAACAGTGTAGGCTCCAACGAGCATCAACGCGCAAACCTTCCTGTCTAACGACACCGTGGCAGCAGAGAGCCAATTCATCTCTTCTTCAAGACTCGGCGCTGGCTCCCACGTCTGCGTCTTTAAGTCAAACGATTCGGCTTGAAGGTCGCCGTCCATGTTGCCTCCCACCACGTATATCTTACTCCCAACTAAGCCCACGCTCTTGTACAATCTTGCCACGTTCATGCTCGGTCCTTGGCGAAACTCTCCAGAGCGAGAGTCAAAGATCCATAAGGTTGACGAGTAAACGTGTAACCCGCATATAAAGAAAATCTCGGGACCGTGAGCGATGAGTGAGGCGTTGGACTCGTCGTGATCAGGAAAGAGAAGATCGATGGAGACGAACTCATCATTCTCTGACGGATTATTCTCGGTTCTGCGGAGAGTGAACCAGTTTGGGGTCTGGGGACGGTTGGTTATGTCCATGAAGCAGATGTAGAGGGAGTCTTTGCGGAGGAGAGAGCGAGTCTTGTGAATCTCCGGGGAGCGAACAAGAAGACTGAAGTTCTTGGAGACGCAAGCGAGGAGTGGGTATAGGCGTTTCGGGACACGGGCTAAGACTTGCCATGCGATGTCGTTAGGCAGTGAGGAGAACGTTGAAGGTGACATTGGGTTGTTGAGTTTCACGGTGGTGCTCGTCGGCGACTCGGAGGTGGGGAAAGAAAGACGCCAAGTATAGTCAGTTAGCAATACTCTCTTTATCTTTCTTTCTTTTCGATGATAATTTCTATTTATACGACGAAATTAGAAGCTTCTATTAAATACATTTCAGTTTTCAGTTGTCCGTTAAATTTCATATAATATATTTAGACTTTTGGCAAACTACGAAAAACTTTACACTTCAAATTCGAATACACAACAATAGTGGCAGAGCTAGCCATAATAATTACCCGGCTTAGTATCAATTTATTATTAAATATAAATAATTTTTATAATTATTAAATATTAAAATAATTATTAATAGATACTTCTAGATGTTGACATAAAAAATAGTTACATCTTGATATCATAAATTTTAGAACATTATCTAATATTTAAATATTTATATTATGTAAAAAAAAGAAAACATTAAAAATGAAAAACGATAACTGATTTGAAAAATCTTAGGCTCACATTGATTTTCAACAAATATTAGATATGTCAATAAGCTAGTCGTAAACATTTTACTAAGGATTTTTTGTAAACATTGAAGCAATATTTTATGAATAATTCCTTAGCCACCGCAATGACAGTTATAATTCCATGAATAATATCCGTATCATTTATCGGAAATTTTATTTTCTTAAAAGATGACCATCTTTTCATTTAACGTATTTACATCACCAGTTTATCAGCCTCTATTAAATGTTGTAAACAGATTGGAACAATTGACTAAACCATGGATCAAAGGTTGAATATATATATGAATACAGAGCCTGCTTTTGGGCCAAGCCGATAAAGCAGGAGCTTCCGGCCTACTTCTTCCTTCTCTTCTCACTGTTGAAGTTCACAATGGAGCAGTATTGAACTGGTACACATGCCACAAATTAACAAAAATGGACAGCTCCGCGAGTCAGGGTGTTTAGAAGAGATATCATGAGAAAGATACGTAACACACCTGCTGAAAAATTAAATGACTATTTCGTAAGTATTTGGCACAACTCACGTATATTACTTGTTATCACGAAGACAAACTGTCTATATAAGTGCCACTTAATACATACCAATAATCACCGAACTTATCCAAGCAGCCGTGTAATTTCTCCTTAGAATACGAACAGATTCAAGTGCGCCTGTGAACAGAGGTGATCCAACAACACCTGCAACAGATCAGTTATGCATAACCGAAATGAAAAACATAACACAATTTAAACTTATGTATCTGAGGAAGAAGAGGGCATCGTGTTTTGCACGATTCGGTAAAACCCAATGCATCTGAATAAGATCTCTAGAACCAAGCAAGCAAGAAAAATCTGCAGGCACCCGGCATTGCTACACTGTTCCTGAAAAATGTAGGGGAAGTTCCATAATCCAACCAATAATATGAGAAAAAAGGCTTATGCACAGGAATCTAAAGCATGAATCAATAAAAGACAACACAAAAAAAAAACTCAATCCTCCAGCGTATATACTGTAACTTTTCATAGTTCATTATCCCAAAATTAAAACAAAAGAAAATTAAGCTGACTATAAGAAGAAGAACATCACAATAAGGATTGAAGTTTCCAAACATACATTTCAGGTTGTCTATACAGATCACTATAAGACCCCTCTTGGAAAAGAAAAATATGTAACAGCTGATTCCACATTGCAGCGAAGTAATACCACCACCTGAAGATAAGATTGTTAATGATCAAAAAGAAAATTGATTACTAACAAAATTTACTAATGTCTTGTACCAGCAGACGTTAGGTTTCTTATCTCCATCAAATGCTCATCAGTTGAGATATTAAGAGAAAGTCGGAGATCCGTTAGTGATGCTTCCTTGTCCCAGTTTAACGGGCCTTGATCAAATAACTTCCTCAGTGTAACACGGTATGTGGATAGCTCAGGCCTACATGAGCTTCTCAATGAATGTTCCAGCGTAGCTTCTTCCCTGCATCCTTTTGAAGATTCTGCATCACTACTATAAGAGTCTGCGTCTTGGCTAGAAGAAACATCTATCAAAGAAGTTGACGTATCATCATTCTCATCATATCTAATCGGACTACAACTACCAACCGAAGAAGCATCACTAGTATCAGCACTACTAAACCTTTTTGATCTTACCCTGACAACAGCAGCAGAACCTTCCTCCACCAATCTCATCTTCTTAGGACTTCTTCCCGTGCAAGATTCAGCAGATTTACAGGGTGAAGGTCTCTTCACCAGTCTTATAGAAACAACACGTGGCTTAACATTCTTGTTTATTACATCAGATCCAGTCAAAGTCGAGGACTTCACAGAACAAGACACCTGCGAGATCATAACCCATCTTTCATCTTGCCAAGCTTGTCGAGCCCTAAGGTTAACTTTATGAACCGTAACTTCCACGGAGGCACCACCACCAAGTAACCGAACCACATAGTATCTTCCAGACAACTCCTTTACGACTGTAGCGGGTTTCCAGAAAACGTCATCAAGAACCTCAACTACTTCACCAGATTGCCACCTGTCAACATCAATTAGAGCAGGACAAGGCCTGATCATCTTCCTTGCAACTCTCTCCTCCAAGAGAGTATCTTTTGAAAGGCCGAAGGAGTAATAACGAACGGTGTAGGTGTGACCATTACCGGAAAGAATCTCGGCTGTTCGCCACGCACCATAAGGTGTCTCTTTGAGGTTTAGAACCTCAACTCTGCTTCCTTTTCTGAATCTCATCGATAGTTTTTTATAGAATGATCTGCAAAAATAAAATAATTCAACTTAGTGATAAGTCCAACAACAAAAGCAAAAGAAACATAAAAGAAAAAAAAACAAAAACAAAAACAGAAGAAAACAATTACAATGAGTCTGTAATAAAATTGATAATTCAGAACATAACAAGATTAGTTAAAAACTCGGGTCGGAAAAAAAAATCTCGCACAGTAAGAAATACAAATTTTCAGATGTAAAAATCAATGAACCAACTACGAAATTCGATCGAAGAAACGTTTCGTGGTGATCAAGGAGAATTGAAAAAACCACAACAGAAGAAGAAGAAGAAAGTACCTTGTAAAAGTTTTAATAACGTTCGATCACCGTAAGATATCGGATTTTCCCTCTGAACAAATTTGATCGCAATTGAAATTGGGAGATTAGGGCTTTTGATGCGAGGAGATACCGACGAAACTAGGCGTGATAAAGATATTAGCAAATTTATATATTGTTTAATATTTTTGATTTTTAATTAAATTCTACCGACCTATTTAATCTTAACAGGCCGAATAATAAGTCAATTAGTAATGGGCCGATGGTAATGGGACTTATAGTGTATTATTTCAAGGAATAATGGACTTCTAAGATAATTAATAAGTAAATCTCCTATATATTAAAAGAGATTCATTTGAAAAATTGTCATTCAAAAAAAAAAAAAACATTTGAAAAATTGTAACCTCAATTTTTTAATAATTAAAAGAGACTTCATGCTTAGGTGTCATTCAATTAGGTAGTCAATTACATTCAATTGAAAAATAAGTAGGTATATATTCAATTTTTATATGTCGCTAGATATATTGGTCAAACTATATGATATGATTATATGATATTTATGATAGAAGCATTTATGATTGTTCCGCTAAATATAGTTACTATTTTTTTTCTTTCCTTAAATAAAACCTACGGAATTACCATAAATGACTAACATATATATATGACAATTAATGACTCTAATAATAAATATTTGATAACAATTTATATCTCCTCCATCATTTTTCTTTAATTTTATATTATCAAAATAAATTAAAGAATAAAATTAGCTATAAAATTAACTTTAGATTTTTTCGTATATGTAATATTTTGAATTAAAAAATGAGAATAAATGACTAAAACTATTAAAATTATTATGTTACAAGTTAATGATCAATAGTTTAACATTTTTATTATAAAAAGATATACATGATTTAAAAAACTATATGAGTAAAAATTATCATTCAATAATAAAACAAATATATTTATAGATTAAAATATATACCATATAATATTACATAAATATTTTAATTTCAAAAATTTCAATGAATTTTCAAGAACATTTATAAATTATAAACTTATTAAATTTTTCACTGAAAAGTTTTGTTATCAATGATTTAATATCTTAGTTCTTTTTAATTTTATATTTTATAAAGATATTAAACAATCAATAATATGGTTATTTTTGGTATATACCATACAAACCGAATGGATGTGATTTTATAAAAACCGTATGATTTGGATATGGTTTGATTTGTAACCGATTAAACTGAAATATGTATATATTTATAACGACACATGAATATCTATTTGTTACATGAGTATGAGTTGAACTATAATTATAATTTGTAAATCACTTGAATCACTAGAACTATAATTAACTAACAATTTACTGCAACTAAGGCTTCTTATTTTCTTAGTCTTTTTCTGTCTTTTTGCTTTATTTTAATTGTAACTAAATTGAAGTAAAGATTATAAATTTGATGGACAACAATTAGTTGAAATTCTTTACAACTTTTTTTAATCGTTAAACAAACAGAGTTGTGTTCAGTCGGAGACGTGTTAATTGATGAACACTAAATATGGAAGAGTATTAAAAAATTTCTTTCATGCTTCTGTTTTTTTTTTCGAAATTTAGAGCTTTGATATTAATTCTAGATTTGATCATTTTATTAGATGATAGAAGCTTTTTTTTATTCTTTTATTTAAATATATATTTTTTTAATAAATGACTTTTTGACAATATGATTCTAAATATGATCATATTATATATTTGTATAATATATAATATAATCTCAAACTAAATAATTATGTTTTTTGGTATAAAACTTAATAAACTGAAAACCGATGGTATATAAACCAAATCAAACTGAAGTAAATATGGATTTAGAATAGTATTTATATTTTAATAACTGAAATACCGAAAAATCGAACCGAACCGAAACCCGATACTCGGATTGAACACTCCTAATCCAAATGAAACCGAACTATTATTTCATTTTCCAAAACATAATAAAAATAATAATTTCATCCCGCGCAAGGCGCATGTCTTAACCTAATTACTTATTAATTATAACTCAACTCGCACTCGCAGTTCTAATTGTCAGATTCATGAAGTTAGAATTTACAGTGAATTTTCTCCCAATACAGATTCACGAAGTCACAAAGTTGGAACATACAAATAATTCAGCTTTGGTGGATCCTCAGGATGTGGAGCTTATAGAAAGCATAACAGTTAGCAAGATTCAAATGAATGATTAGGATGGATGGCATTTCAACAATAATATAAAATGCATGATTATATCTGAATACCAAATAGAACAGATATACTCAGATAAAGAAAAACCACCGGTAATTTTGAGTCCACAATTGACTTATTGAAAGCATTTTACTGGAAAGTACGGTGTACATCAGAGATAAATCATTTCTTATGGTAATTAGTATTGTGATGTATAGCTGTTAAGAAAAATCTGTAGCGAGAGGGATACAAGGAGACATGTGTTGTGTCAGATGCGAAGCTGAAGAAGAATCAATCAACCATGTGTTTTTTAATGTCCTCCAGCACACTAAGTCTGAATGTTATCAAAGATGCCATCTAATCTAGTTATTTTTCCCCACTAGTTCTCTCTTCACAAATATGGATCATTTATTTTGGAGAGTCCTCCCAAAAATGGATGATCATCAATTTGCATGGATATTGTGGTACATTTGAAAAAGAAAGAATATCAAAACTTTTAGCAACTTGGATATTGATCCTAGAGACACACTTAAATTAGCAGAAACAAAATCAATTCTTTGGGCTGAAGTCCAGGTGGTACATAAACAGAGGACAACTCAACAGGGCGAAGTTACGAACATACCATCAATCTCAGGACATTGGTGTTATTACAGATGGTTCCTGAAAAGATAAGGAAGTTCTTTCGAGACAAGGTTGGTATAGTACGCCCAGTTTTGATGGATTGATGGGGGTAAGAAACGTTAGGGATAATTTTTCTCTTTTTCATTTTGAGATGGAAGCGCTAATTTGGGGAATGAAGTATATGAGGAATTTACGTCAGTTTCAGGTCACTTTTGCAACAGATTGTTCTTAATTGGTGAATATGGTTTTGGAACCAGAAGAATGACAAGCTTTTGCAACTTATATGGAGGATATCAAGACACTAAAGGAAAGCTTCCTTAGCTTAGAGATCATCTATGTACCAAGAACCTATAATTTATGGGCAGATAGTCTAGCATGCAGCGCTTGAAAACAATCGTCCTTTGTCGTTCACATGGATGCATAGTTACCGATTTAGTTTACAGAGTCTGTATGAACCTGTTTAAGTTGATGACAAAAAAAATGTTGATTAATCGCAAAATTATTTAAAGCACCGTACAATATAATTTTCTGTTTTCAAGTATTCAAATATTTTATTCATTTTTGAAAGTGATAACTCAACTATAATATTAATATTTGTCACTGCAAAATGACTAATGTTTTTTCAAAACTTTTATATTTGATTGTCTTTTTGACACATTTTATAAAATGTGCGCAGTGAGCGAGTATAAGAAATATTATTATGTTTATGTTAATTAGTTTTTTGAAATCTACGATTTGTTGTATTCATTAAATTGAATTTTTTCTGTATTGTTCTATGTAATAAATTTTTATAATATTATCTAGAATATCTAATTGTTTCTGTAAATAATATATTAGTTCATATATATTTAAGATGTTTAATTGTTTATTTGGTAGCATATATTAGATAACATAATTTTAGGATTATTCTATGTTTAAAACTTTAATTAATTAAATAGGAAAATAAATACTAACAACCAATAAAATTAAAAGAACTAATTTTAAATTTCACCTATAAATAACATATAACCAAAATCAACTTAATTGACTTCTCATTTAATATATAGGAAGATTAATACATAATGTTTTAGTTAAGAAAAATAGAAAAAAATAAAAGGAATGGTCCCAAAAATGGAAAAATGAAACAATAAATAAATTGTTAAAAAAAAAAAGAAACAATAAATAAAAGGAACGTTTGAGTATAATAAAAAAGGAAATAAGGTTGAAATTAAAAAGCTAAAAGGAAACTTTTATTGTTTGAAAAACTGTTCTATATAATAGTGGCATCAGCGACAATCTTTCTCTGCCTCTTTACTTGTTGACATACACAAAATGAAAACCACAGGAGATGTTAAAGTACATGTAGATGTGAATGTATTGTTGAACACTAGAAGCTATATCAACACAGCTTCCATCAATCTCTCCCACAAACTCCAGAGACATGTCGTTGACGAATCAGATGGAACCATCACTTGTATTGGACTTTACCCCGCGCCTGATCATCCCGTCTCTCACATCTGCTTGTATCTCTTTAAAGAAAAAAACAGTTCCCACGATCTACTTCCGCGTCTCGATTCCCATCTCCATAATCCTTACTTGTCTCTCCAGATCGCCGAGAAGATGGCTGACCAAGCGGCTCAGAGCAACGGGTTTCTACCAAAACCTTACCTCATGACTGTTAACGTTGTTTTGGTCCACGACGTGTTGCACAAGATTCCCGTTTCTTGTCTTCCTGGAAAAGAGACCCTAAAGAAAGAAACTACATGTGCCATCTGTTTGGAGGATTTGTGGACTAACAAACAGTTGAAATTGCCACATTGTTCGCATCTGTTTCATTTTAGATGTATCAGCAAGTGGTTACAGAGTCGCAACTCTTGCCCTCTCTGCCGTGAAATTGTTTTCGAAAAGAGTGATTTTGAGTAATCTGCTTCTTACGTTTTTTTTAATTGTAACTGAAAATACTTTTGTTGTTAGACTCTAAATGAAAGTATTCAGATTCCTTGTTTTTCTTTCTTTCTTTTTTTGTTAACAGAACACAATGAAAACTTGACACTAGAGATTGTATGTTACCAACAAATTTAAAGCATTGATCAACAAATTAACGTCTGCTTATTACCTGAATACCAATAAAGGTCTGCTTCTAGATCAACAAGTGTTTTTTTTCTGAGAAAGGGCATTCAATCTTGATCAACAAGTGTTTCATACTTTCAATATATAACTGTTACCACAGTGACAAAAAAAAAAAAAAAAAAAAAAAAAAACTGTTACCTCAAATGAGAAATTTTACATAGTGAATCATGTCCTTCCGACCAGCATTTCATACTAATTCTGAATGCATGTCCAGTAGAAAATATATTTTAAATCGGATCTTTGGACAAAATAATTAAGAAAATATATTTTTAGTTAATATCATATATTTAATACATACAATTGTATTTTTTAAATAATAAGATATTATTTTCTGTGATTATAAGTTCAGTTCTCTTAAAAATTCAGATTTTATTTAGATCTGCTTTGGACAATTTGGGTTATTTCTTCTTTGCCTAATAAATAAGAAACAAATAAACGTTCCACTTTTAAGAAAGGGTGATTTTGTGAAATAACTAAACAAACAAACAAAAAAGGAAACAACAATAAATAACGTTCGAATTTTAAGAAAAAAAAAAGGAAATTAAGTTAAAAATGAAAAAAAGGAAACTTCATCATTCGAGAAGAAAAAAAAGAGTCCTATATAATTCAACACTCAGGTCTTCTCTCACTCACACAAACGAATGCTCTCATCTCTCTTTCTCTGCTTTTGATTTGTTCAAAATAAAAAAAATGGAGACGACTACTCTAGTATCCATCGATGTCGACGAAACCTTTGTTCCTCATCATCACCCCTCCCCACGCAACCCTATTTCTATTTGCATCAATCTTGTCAACCGTATCCAGAGATTCGCGTTCGACGAATCGTCAGAAACATTAAAGACTTGTTGTACTCCTCCATCCACGAGTTCCTTCTCTCAAATCAATTTAAATCTCCATGACTACGAGTTTTGTCCCTCGTATCTCTTCTCCCTCATCGATCCTCACCTCTGTTCTCCTCACAAGTCTGACCTTATAGCCGAGGAGATGGCTTATTGGGCGTTTCAACGCATGTTCGTTAAACCAGTTTCTTATCGCATGTTCGTTAACGTGGTTTCTACCGAAAACGTGTTCGTCACGGAAACGGATTCTCATCAAAAAGAGGAGGAAGAGGAAGAGTGGACTTGTGCCATATGTTTGGAGGAGATGGTGAAGGATGAAACGATGGAAGTGATGTTTTCTTGTTCGCATCGGTTTCATCTTAGATGTATCGCCGAGTGGTTACAGAACAGTGACTCTTGCCCTCTCTGCCGTCAAAATTTGTTTGGAGTAGAGAGTGATTTTGACTAGTCGCTGCTGTTTATTTCGTAAACTACTTTTGTTGTTTAGAAATGTAATGAAAGTATTCAGACTCGTTTAAGCTTCTTTTCTTTGTCTAAGTAACCAAAAAAAAAAAAAAAAAAAAACTTAGCCAGTAAAAGATCTACTCTAAGTCTTTAAAAACATCTGATGTACAAAAGTCATAGTTAAACCATTAATTAATGACTTTAAAAAATCAATCTAAATATATTCATATATTTTATTTTCCTTACAAAACATCTAAACAACTTTTTTAAAAGTCAAGTAGTTAATATATGATTAATACAGTTTCATCAAAAAAAATTTCATCAAATATAAAGTTTCAAACAATATTACATAACAACAAAAACTGATATAAATTCATATCTTTTGTAATTTATTTTATACTCCAAAGGATAATTAAAAAATAAATAAATACTTGCACAGGCACACCGGTTCAACTCTAGTTACATGGTTTTTAAGATTAACGAAGACTAAACAAAACTAAAATATATCTTTAGATTAGAAACAAAACATCACAGGGTTCGTTGTTATAGGCATACTACATTACCAAAGATACAATAAGTTGGAATCTTTTACAGTCACATTTCTATAACTTGAAGAATCTGTGATGGTGTAGCCGCTGGGTCGAGTTGTATGCAACCTCTGGGTGCACCGGGTGCTTCTCGACCTGTGAGCAAGTAAGATGGTATCCGATGAGAGAATCTTGATAACTCATCCCTTGAAATGTTTCTGATTTCTTTGGGATCCAAATAATGGTGAAACACTGATTTGAAACCAGCAACTTTCATCAAAGGAACCACTGAAACACCAGAGTCCTCTGTATACCCTTCAACTACTTCCACTACATCATACTCTATTGCTTCTGCTCCTCCTGTAAGATAGTTCCAATCATGGGACCAGTTCCTATACAGAGCCCATACATCTCCTCTTCTAGGATATATAAGAAACTCTCCGTGACTGCCTTTGACCTGCTCCACTTTGTGTGAGAAAATGTAAGGTGACTTGCAGATTTGGGTTTTCCCAACTCTGAAATCTCCACAAGCTTTTTGAACACCAAAGCCAAGCCACTTTGTTGACCTAAGCTCACTGTTTGTCTCTGGAGTAAGCTGAGTGATACACACTTTAAAAGGGTCTACGGAGATAACCTTGTTTATCATGACATAACCTCGAGGCATCCCATCTAAAGAGTCGTAAGAAGCCCATATCTGGTTATCACTAAATGACTTTTCAGTTCGAACCTTGTTGAAGTCACAAAAATCTGGATCAGTAACATCTAATGTCAAGCCTCCCAAGGGATCCAAACCTTTAGCAGTAGCAGAAGTATCATCAATGGCACTTTGGTTTTCTGAAGAACCTGCATTAGCCACATTGACATCCTCAGTTTTAGTTTCGGTATCAGCAAGCTCTTGCAGCTTTCTTCTGATTAACGGCTTGGCTTTCTTCTTCAGAAGATTCTTCAACTCATCATCAGAAAACTCTTTCACACCGTTGGACTTGGGAGCCGCGAAACAGCTTGCAACATTGGAACCAGCCGCTGCATTCTCCATACCCTTTCTTCTTTTTGGAGCGTTTGTCGATGGAGTAACGGTCACCCTTTTGGTATACTCTTTCCGTGACCCGGTCTGTGCACCATGAGCAGTGTTTTTAGTTCCCGTGCACACAGCACTCCACTCAAAGGAATCATACACACCGTTGTTGTTGTTGTTGTCTCTACTTCTCTTTCTACCGTCTGTTGACTGACGGATAGACTCAAACTGGTGCTCATGAAAGGTCTTGCGGATTGAGCCTGACCCTGGAGGATCTGTTTCCACAGCTATAAAGGGCTTACGACAGTTGGGACACAGGAGGTTCTGATTTAAGTAAACACGGTGATACTCATACTGCGTTCTGCAAGTGCGACACACAGTCCAAAAGGTTCCATCAGAAGTTGTATTATGAGCTGAAGCAGGAGTAGCAGCAGAGGCAGAGGCAGAGGCAGATGCGTCACTCGCCCGCTTTGTTGTACCTCTCTTCCAACTCTTCACTTTTGTAACGTTATTAGCAACACTTGGTTTAGCAACACTTGGTTTAGCAACACTTGGTTTAGCAACTTTCTGAACACCATTGTCTGCAGCATGCTTTGACGATGATGAAGCCCCTCCTCTTCCTTCAACCAATCCCAAGTTCCTCCTCAAATCATACTCAGCTCTCTTCCCCTTGTCGGAGAACACACCCCAAGCCTGAGAAAGAAACTTAAACGCTTCCTCTGCTCCATCAGACTTGTTCCTGTCCGGATGAAGCAATACAGCCAACTTCCTGTAATGTTTCCTCACTGTTTCGTCGTCAGCCTCAGGGTTTATACCAAGTACACCATAGTAGTCAATCTCCCCATGTATAATGTTGTGAGCAGAGGCATGAACATCAAAAGTAGCCACCATTCGGGAGATTCCTTCGAGGTCAGGATTCAAGAACTGAGCTTTCAAGGCAAATTTTCTGGCTCCAGGAAAATCATTTGCTAAGAACCTCTTCTTTGCAGTCTCTTTAGCCCTAATTGCCTCTTCTTTATTACAATCCATCTCTTCTCCTATCTAGATAATGAAGAAAGGGGTGTTTTAATGTTAATATCTAATCCAAAAAAAAAAACGCAAAATCATGAGAATTGCCCAAAATTGATACACTCTACACAAGTGCACTGAAGAATCTAGTAAAAAAGAAACGTAATCCTCATCAATAAATTGCCCAAATTTAATGAGGATTGGGACATGAAGTCGGCAGTTACAGTATGTCTTTTTAAAGACATCATAAACCTAAATGTGTCCGAAGGGACATTACTTTCAAAATTTTCGAGATTTACGAACAGAGTAGGAAAGATCGGAGCTTTAAGAATGAAAACAGAATAGAGAAGGAAGCTTACATGGGCAGTGGAAGTAGATTTAGCGATCCAACTCAGAGAATTGGAATCGGGTCTCTTCGGCGGCGCTTCGAAACTTTATTTTTGGGTTTCCAACTGGTTAGAGCATTGTTAACAATTAGAATGATTCTAATTTATTTTTATAGACTTATTTTTACAAGGCTAAACGAAAAAATTAGACTTTAATTAATTAATCTAATTATTTTTATAGATTTTAATTAATCTAATTAATTTTTAGATTTTAATTAATTAATCTAATTAATTTTTAGATTTTAATTTATTAATCTAATTAATTTTTATAGATTGTAATTAATTTAATTAATGTTAAATTACAGATAAAATTAGACGAAAATCTAAACACATCTTTTTTTATGGCAACATCTAAACTCATCTATTAAACCACTAAATCAATTTAACAAAAAAAAAGTGTCCCTACATCTGATCTATCGCAACCCATAACACGCGTGCTATATGTTCCGTTATACCGTACAGCCATATATGTTCGGTTTAATTCAAGTTATGTTTCGGTTCTCGGTTTAAACCAAACCGAACCGATATCTGAAATCCAATCAGGTTATTTGTTGGATCTGCAACCGATACCCTTATTTGGGGTTTGATTCGTTTTGATTTTTATGCCCAAGCCTAGCTGACGTGTCAGTCTACAAGACAGTTGAATATTGAATTGCTAATTTGGTTTGTTAATGTCGTAGCGGTTTGTTTAATGAGAGATTTACTGTAGCTGTCAAAACCAATCTGCCAAACCCAAATGTAGTTGTTAAAACTGGCAAAGTGATATCACTTAACCTTAGTTATGTTCCTCTTCACAACTCTTTGAAACCAAATATTAGTCTTTTCAAACTTCAACATCTTCGTAATTTAACCCTTAAAAATTACTCTCTCGCTCTATGGAGAGATTCTTTCTACACTAAGAAACCTTTCTCATCTCACTATGCTTAATCTTCTCAATAATAATCTAGTGGATCAAATTCCAGCTTCAATAGAAAACCTAGCTCAATTAAGATACCTCAACCTTAATCAAAATAAGTTTAGTGGTAATATTCCAATGTCCTTTGCCAATTTAACAAATTTATACCTATTTTACATCCATGACAATTACCTCGAATCCACAATCCCATTTAACATGAGTGGTTTCCAAAAGTTGAAATATTTTGGTGTGGGTGCAAACTCTTTTTTTTGGGCGGAGGGGGAGGGGAGGTGGTTCCTAAGTCATTGTTCATGATTCCTTCATTAATATATATTAATTTAGAAGGAAACCATTTCAGAGGACCTATAGAGTTTATGAATACATCACCATCTAGTCTCAATTATCTCTACATTGGTTATAACAAATTTGATGGCCCAATCTCTGAATCTCTATATGAAATTATAAGTCTTGAAGAGATATATTTTAGTTACAATATGTTCATTGGATCAATCACAGGATCACTAGCAAAGCTAGACAACCTCTACTATCTTGATCTTTTGGGAAATAAGTTGGAAGAACAAGTACCAAGCTGGTTATGGAGATTGATCGAAGTAAGGCTTTCTCACAACTCTTTCAACAGCTTTGGAAAATCACCAGAATCAGCTGCTACCGATGAAACATAACTCATGGCATTGGGTCTTAGTTCCAATTCATTTTGAGGACCATTCCCGCATGAGATCTGCAAAATTACATCCTTATACATCTTAGATTTGTCTAACAATAGTTTTAGTGGCTCAAATCCTAAATGTTTTAGGAATTCCACTGTTTCTCTTAGAGAGCTATTAATAGGTAACAACATCTTAACTGGAATACATCCGGACATATTTGTCAACACTACCAACTTAAAAAAATTGATATCTCAACAAACTAGAGGAAAAACTCCCAAGATCATTAATTAATTGCACCGGTCTGAGGTTTCTCAACCTCCAAAGAAATGGAGTCAAGATAGGTTTCCTTCTTGGTTGGGTTCACATGCACGTATATGAATATTTACAAGGTAATACATTATAACTATTTATTAAGATTTTATTTTTGTTTTTAGATTATTTTGTAATTAATATACATAATTTATGTTGAATAAAATTAGGTTACATTAAATTAGATAACATCTACTTTTCCGATTTAACCATAAATATTTTTGTTCTACAGATTAATTTTTAATTATTTTTTTATTTTCATTTAATTTGATTCTTGTCATGGACTTATAATTATATTTTAGCAAGATTATGTATAATTTAACATATGATGTTTTCAGAATCAAATAATAAAACAAACTAAAATGTTGGTAGACTGAAAGTTACATAAAAGAATATAACAATTGATAATCTTCTGAAACCTTGTTCGTATTAACTATAATACAAAAAAATTAATCTAATTCGGCCAAATGAAATTAATTATATTCATCGGATTAGTTTGTTTCTTCATCTTAGATGTGTAAGTATATTTTTGATTTGTTAAATAATTTGGTATATGTTAATCGGAAAAAAATAAAATTATAAACCATAAAGTGATGATCGGTATGAAGTTACATAAAATTATAACATAAATTTTAAAAGGAAATGTTGTTTTTTATTTTAATATTAACATTATTTTGTGAACATTTATCTTTGTGAAATGAAATTATATATAAAATACTTCTTTTTAAAATTTATATTTTTTTCTGTACTATATATGTTATTTATAAAAATATAAAAGGAACTTAAATAAAAAATATCTTAATTTATGTTATTTAACTTATTTATCATAATTTGAGAAATAGATTTATTTAAATAAAATACTTATTAAGTTTAAAATATATGTTATATTGTTTAAGATTTTATTTTAGGAGAGAAGGTTATTTCTTTACTTTAAATTGTGATAATTTTGTGAACTTTCCTTTTTATGAATCAGATTATACATAATATATATTTCATTTTAAAGTTTTTAAATGTTCTTTATTATATAGGTTATGTGAAAAATATAAAGAAAAAAATACTTAAATTAAAAAAAAAAAATAATGGCAATAAGATATATTTGATTTATTAAGGGTATCCCTTATTGATATGATACATCAAAAATTAATTTCTCAAATAAATGCCTTCATGATAGCAAGTTGAATGTGAAGACTTGCGCAGCACACTATAGACTGTTTGTGAACTCCTTCAATTTCTTCACAAACTGAAGGTGTTATTTTTGTATTAGTCGAAAAAAGCCGAAAATGTTATCTTCTCTTTTCGTTGAAGCATTATATTTGTACAATAACAAAAAAATAAGTATAATTAATTGTTTTAGAAAGGGGGAAAAGAGAGAGATAGGAAGAGAAAGAAACTGAGAGGGGATGATAAAAGCAGATCAAACGGTACAGATCAAACGGTTCATGCAGATCAAGTAGGATAAATGCAGATCATGCATGAGAGATGCATATCAAACAATTTAATATAAATTATGAATGAAAAAATCAATTCAAAACTATAGATATATATTAAAAGAATAAAATTATACCAAATATGAAAATACATATTTTTAATGTTTTAGGATCAGCCGAAATGTTTATTGAATTTTTCATAAGATGCTTATATGTCTTCTATTTGCGTTTTAGTTGATCAAAATTATTTTGAAAAACAGACATCTTAATATTTAATTCTATGTTGATATTTATATATAGAAATGGAGATCAAACAGATTAAATAATTTATTATAAATTATAAATGACAAAATATGTTAAAAACTATATATCATATATTAAAATATTAAAAATTACACCAAATATCAAAACAAATATTTCAGATGTTGTAGGTTCAGCCAAAATGTCTGTAAAAATTTTATTAGATGCTTGTACTTATTCTATTTATTAATTATTTTAAAATATAAAAAATATGAATTTTTTTTGCTGACATTTATGTAGAAATTTTTTATTTTTTCGTGAAAAATATTGTGTTTTTTTGGCGATTACACATCATGCATATAATTTTAAAATGACACAAATAATATTAATGTGAACTATATAGTTTGAGTTAATAATTGTTTATTATTTATAAAATCAAATAAATATATTTTAAAGTTAAGTGTTTGTAATTTGTAATAAAACTATTTATTAGTAAAAGGAAAAAAAAAAGCAAATCAACATCACCAAATGTTACCGGATGAGATTTGCATGCAGATCTCTTGCTTTTTCTACTAAAAGACAAAAAAATTGAACTGCATTCAGATCTCCCGCTTGAACTGCTTTTACAAAAAAAAAATGGTGAATGGTAAATATATTGTAGGAGAACTGCCTATTGCGGGAGAACTGCATGATCTGCCCTTGTCCTGCCCCTCCCATTCATAACCTTTAGTAGTGTATTTATGTTTTTTTTGTTTGTATATTTAACCTAATTTTCCATTAGAAAAATGATGAAAGAGAATTAAAAATAAATAAGTTTAACGTTCTTATAAAAACATTACCAATCAAATCTTAAATATGACATAAGCCCTTTATCAAAAAAAAAAAAATCTTAAATATGACATGAAAGTCAGATGTAGAAGAAAAAAAAGCAGAACTGTATGATCCCACATAATTCCCCCTCGAGGATCTCGAAATCAAAGGTCAAGGAAACCCGAACGAACGTTACTCTAATCCTGCACGTCTCGTAAATTTACATTAGCCTCCCAAGTCCCAAGGAAAAAAGAAGATGGATGACAGATAACGTTGCTGACGAGAATAGAGTTATCCCAAGTAACAAACATCTCCGATTCTCATTTCTCACTCACCCCACTATTAAAATAAGAGACAAACCCCACTTTATTTACTTTTTGCCTTAACGCGCTCTGGAAGGTTGGTTTCCTCTCCCGTTCTCTTTTTTTTGGTGGCAATAAAAAATAAATAATTAAAAAAAAAAGAAAGATCTAACTTATAGGAACAGATACATTGCATCTGCATTTCAACCAAAATATAAAAACCACATCTTGACCTCATTCTCACCCCATCCTCTTTCTTTTTTTTCCTTTCCTTATCTCTCTCTCTTGTTCCTTTTTTCCCTATACCATAGGGTTCTCTTATTCTCTCTCATATCTTCTTATGCTCATCTCTTTCTTCAACACAATCAAAGCTGCTGAGTTCTTCATCCTCTTCGTCATCGTCAGATCTTTCGTTTTTGCTCTCTCCCACGGGTTTTCGCTTGTTGAATCAAGCGCCTTCGTTTTTCCTGGGAAGTTCGAGCTCAAATCATGTCTCAAATCTTCAGTTTCGCTGGTGAGCCTCCCCGATCTCTTCTTTACAGCTCGATTTTTCTTAGATCCGTTAGATTTTTAGCTGATTCATGAATAGGATCGTGTTTGTTGATATAATAGGTAGATCTGGAATCGAACTTGCTATTTATCAGATCTGGAATTGAATCAGATCTCGTGATTAATTTCTTAATTTAATCAGATCTGTAATTTTTTTTTTAATTTTTACTGTTTTATCTTTGCAGGTGAAAATGATTTTTACCGTCGTGGTGGCTCAGTATACTCAAACCCGAATGAAGTTAACCTATTGCTATCGCTTGGTAGCCTCGTTGATTCCTATTACCCTCCTTGCAAGAGATCTCGTGTCGTCGCGCCTTCTTCTTCTTCGCTCTTCAGTGCTTTTGAGGAGGAGAAGAAGACAGTCTCTATCGATGTGCTTCCTGACGAGTGCCTATTCGAGATCTTCAGACGTTTACCTGGACCACAAGAGAGAAGCTCCTGCGCTTCTGTGTCAAAACACTGGCTTTCACTTGTGACTAGCATCCGACAGAACGAGCTTGATGTTAATGTTGTTTCCAACAAAAGTGATGATGATTGTGAAGGATGTTTATCTAGGAGCTTAGATGGGAAGAAGGCAACTGATGTTAGACTAGCTGCTATTGCTGTCGGGACAGCTGGCCGTGGTGGGCTTGGGAAGCTATCTATTCGTGGGAGTGGTGTTAGTAAGGTTTCGGATGTTGGTCTTAGGTCTATTGGTCGGAGCTGCTTTTCTCTTGGATCTCTTTCGCTGTCTAACCTTTCCACCGTTACTGACAATGGTCTCTTGGAGATTGCTGAAGGGTGTTCGCAGCTTGAGAAGCTTGATCTTAGCCGTTGCAATGCTATCACTGACAAGGGTTTGGTAGCGATTGCTGAGAAGTGTCCTAACTTGAGTGAGCTTACATTGGAGGCTTGTTCAAGCATTGGAGATGAAGGGATTCAAGCTGTTGCGAGATCCTGCTCCAAGCTTAAGTCAGTTTCTATCAAGAACTGTCCTCTGGTTAGAGATCAGGGAATCGCTGCTCTATTGTCTAACACCACGTATTCCTTGAAGAAGCTTAAGCTTCAGATGCTTAATGTCACTGATGTGTCTCTTGCGGTTGTGGGTCATTACGGCTTGTCGGTCACTGAGCTTGTGCTCGCTGGTTTGTCACACGTTACAGAGAAGGGATTCTGGGTGATGGGAAATGGTATTGGGTTGCAAAAGTTGAACTCTTTAACCATCACAGCCTGCCAGGGAGTGACTGACATGGGGATTGAATCTGTGGGGAAAGGTTGCCCTAACATGAAGAAGGCGTTGATTAGTAAATCTCCCTTGTTGTCTGACAAGGGTTTGGTCTCTTTTGCGAAAGGTTCATTGTCACTGGAGAGTGTTCAGCTTGAAGAGTGCCACAGGGTCACCCAGTTTGGGTTTTTTGGTTCTCTTTTGAACTGTGGTGCAAAGCTGAAGGCTTTCTCTATGGTGAACTGTTTGGGGATTAGAGATCTCACCACTGGATTACCTGCTTCATCTCACTGCAGCGGTCTACGCTCTCTGTCTGTTCGTAACTGCCCTGGCTTTGGAGATGCAAACCTTGCTGCTGTTGGGAAGCTATGCCCTCAGCTAGAAGATATTGAGCTGTGTGGGCTCAAGGGAGTAACAGAGTCTGGGTTTCTACATCTACTTCAGAGCTCTCTTGTGAAGGTGAACTTCAGTGGCTGTTCCAGTTTGACAGACAGAGTTGTCTCTGCCATCTCTGTTCGTAACGGTTGGACTCTCGAAGCATTGAACATGGATGGATGTACCAAGATCTCTGACGCCAGTCTAGTCTCCATTGCAGCAAACTGCCAGATTCTAAGTGATTTGGATCTTTCGAAATGCTCCGTCTCAGATTCCGGAATTCAAGCATTGGCTTCCTCTGGAAAACTCAAACTTCAGATCCTATCCATGGCAGGTTGCTCTATGGTCACTGACAAGAGCTTACCAGCCATTGTCAAGTTGGGTTCGACTTTACTGGGATTAAATCTCCAACAGTGTCGATCCATTTCCTGCTCCACTGTCGACTTCTTAGTCGAGCGGCTTTACAAATGCGACATCCTCGCTTGATCCACCAATTCCACGTTCCACTTTATCCACCTACTATATAATGAAGGTATCTTAGTACTGTTCCAAGTTAAGTGTCAGCTCTTTTTCAGGCTCTGTGATCTACGCGTGTCTCTCTCGGTGTTACCCGGTTTTCCTTATTTTTTTCCAAGTAGTTCGGCTTCCGGTTTCTTTTTTTCCAGTCAATGGTGTTTTTGCAGGGGTTTCCTTTTGATCAAGGAAACTCTCTAGCTTTCAATGAAACCGGAATGTCGTGTGGTTGCTTGAGAATATACTTTACCGGGTATACCGAGATTTTAGGGTCTATCATCTCCTGTTTCGTTTTTCTTTGCGTTGCTTGTCTTGTTTAAGTTTGGTTTTCCTCGAAAGGGTCTTCGTGTGATGTGTACGTGTTCAAAGGTTTTGTTCAGTTGCCATGGGTTCGTTCTTAGAGGTTTGCTCTGGCTTTTGTTGCAACAAACTCTATTCAAGAGTTTTTTTCTTGTTGTTTTTTGCCAGAGCCCTCGTTTTTTTTTCCATGCACTGTAATATGATCTGTATGAACACTGTACTAAGTTATGTGTATTGCCCTTTGGGATGGTTTAATGAAAGTATGGAATAAAATTCTCTTTTCGTTGTATTTTTTTTAGTATATCCTTTCGAGATCTGAGAAATTATTACACCTTTAAAATCTGTGTATGGGACAGAGAATCGGATTGTATGTGGAAACCTGACTTTTTGACTTTGATTTACGTTTGGTTGTGTCCAATCAAAAACGAAATGTGCTGTTCAATGAATGTGGTCGACTAGTCGAATCTGGCCAACGATAATATTTGTGTGGATACGATATGATTTGAGTGGGATTATAATAAAGTAGACAACGAGTCATTATTAAGAGTATTCGTTGTCGCTATTATTGCTATTTGTTGACTACTCTTAATCATTAATTAAGATGGGCCAAGTTCCCAAATAATGAACCCTCAAAGTGGCGACAAGGAATCATTGTAAGTTGCGCTTCTTTGTTCACACAATCTTGACATGATTTGAAGAGGTGGTTGAATAACATGGGAGTACAGTATATGTAAAATTAGAACAATTATCAAAATAAATATATTAAAGCATAAAACGATACTTGAAGTAAAATAAATTTTAAATTTAAGAACACAATTAATTTGAAACATAGAATAAGAAATTTGAGAAGAGAAGGATGTGAACTTTTAAGCTTCTATATTCTTCAAGAAGTTTAACTATAATTAGTGGAGGAATTACTTGAGGCTGAAGCACTAGAAAACATGTACTGCGATAAGATTCCACATAATGATTTTAAGGAAACATAGTTTTTACTGAAGCGATGAAAGCATCAATAAGGCGTAGCAATGATCGACGCCAAGGACAATCAAAGCACATAAGTAGAATAATGCATATCAAAGCTGTCAAATAAGTTGAACCAGTACTATAATAGAAGACCAACATGTCAATAACAACTTCGTCGTCCTCTTCCTCCCTTCCATTATCTTCTTCCTTAGTGGCCTCACAACTTATATTGGTTGGTAATCCACAAAGAAGAGGATTGCCTATGTAGCTGTTCTTGTCAAAGGTATTAAACTGCCTTCCTTGGGGAACCCTTCCTGATAAATTGTTGTAAGACACATCAAACACAGCAAGAGAAATAAGACTGGTCAACTCTTGAGGAAGGCTGCCATGTAACTTGTTGTAGGAAAGATCAAGGCTCTCAATATCCTTCAGATTAAAGAAGCTAGATGGTATAGAACCCGACAAAAGATTGTGTGATAGGTTAAGTGCTCGCACTCTCGAGAGATCTCCAAGCTCTTCTGGGATACCACCACTTAACTCATTGCTTGACAGATCCATTCCATACATATAACCAAGTATACCTCCACTAAACTCAGTTCCACCAGTATAAGAATCATACCTTTGTTTTGTCGCAAAATTTATAGCAATTTCATGATAGCTAGTGTAGTCTACTACTAGCTTCTCCACCACAAATGTAGATTTGTAATATTCAAACTGAACGCTTGTGGGATTATAACCTCTCCCAACGTAGATATTTGTATCCTCTTCCGCAACTCCAAGATCAAATGATAAGTTGTAAAGGCATGATGGTATGGAACCATTGAACTTGTTATGTGAAAGATCTAAAATTCTAATAATTCTCACATCACACAGCTGCCTTGGAATCGGTCCTATTAAACTGTTTCCCCTCAACAAAAGAATACTTAGTTGTGGAGGATCCTCCAAGTCGGTTCTGACAAACGCAGGGATACTACCAGAGAGTTTATTGTTCCGCAGATCAAGTATTTGTACACGACGTTCCAACAATGTATTTGGAATTGGTCCTGTGAAGTTGTTGTCTTGTAGGAACAGATACCTCACGTAATGACCAATGTATGAAGGTATGGCTCCATAAAATAGGTTTCTAGAGAGGTCCAAAAAAGAAAGTGAGGACATGTTCCCCAAAGAAGGTGGTACTGCGCCTTGGAAATAATTATCTGATAACAATAAGAATTCCAAATTAGATAAATTAGATATCCAACTCGGAATTGCACCTGTGAGAAGATTGTTGGACATGTCAAGAATTGACAATGTAGTGTTGGAGCTAAGCAAACCAACTCCCATCTCCCCTGTAAATAAGTTGTTATCCATTCTCAACACATCCAATGAAGTAAAGTTTGTTCCTGTAGGAAGGACATTGCCACTGAATCTGTTGTGAGAGAGCTTCAGGTATTTCAGTGAAAAACAGCCGGTGAAAAAGCTTATAGGTAATTTCCCGGAGAAGTTATTATAAGAGAGGTCAAGAAATGAAATGTTCTTCATCTCACCAATTGACGATGGAAAATTCCCTTGAAATCCATTATTAGAGCCATTCATATGTACAAGATGCGGAAGCAGACGACCAATGTTATCAGGTAACAACCCACCAATATCATTAGTTGAAAAATCCAGTAATTGCAAACTATGCAATATTGTAGTAGGCATCTGAAAGATAGTGAATGAATTATTCTGTAGCATTAAGACTTCAAGTTGTGTATTATTCTCCAGCAGCCAAGTAGGAACGTTTCCGGATAATTTGTTGCTGGATAGATCAACTAGACGCAAGTTTTTCTGGTTCACAAAAAAGGAAGGGATGCTCTTCAAGCTGCAAGATCTTAGTACAGCAACACTGAGTTGAAATTTTGGCTGCCAAGTACTCTCTGACTCTACTTGTAACATATCAGAGGTTGTTGAAAGTTTTAACACCTTGAGGTTTGTGAGGTTGGTTAGTGGGTTGAGAGAGAATACGCCTGTGAAGTTGTTTTCTGACAATGAAATATATTCGAGGGACTCAAGGCTGATGAAGCTAGATGGTATATTTCCGCTGAATTGGTTGGATGATAGGTCGAGAACTCGTAGCTTCTTCAAACCACCTAAACAAAGAGGAAGGTGGCCTATAAACTGATTTTCTCTAAGATTGAGCTCCCGCAGATTCTTCATTTCACAAAATACTGTAGTAAATAAGATTGTTTGAAAACAAAAAGGCAGTTAGAACAATAAGAAGAGTTTGACAGAAAAAAAAAGAAGAGTTGTATATTACGCAAGAATTCAGGAGACACATCTCATACATATAATCATAAAAGGAAAAGCAAACATAGGTTACCTTCTACTGGTATAGGTCCGCTGAAACTATTTTGAGCAAGGTTTAGCAGTTCCAAGTTGATCAAGTCTTTTAGTTCTGAAATAAGGAAGAGTCCAAAAGATTATTATACCTTGAAAATGATCATTGTAGGAATATAAAGAAGCTATATTCATTTCCATTTGTAATATTCAATAAACTAAACCACAGGAAAATATTACCTTGCAATTCCATAGAGCTAGAAAAATCATTGGAACTTAGATTTAGAGCTTTCAGCTTTTTGAGGTAAGAAAACTCTGCGACACAAGAAAAAAACAAGACACTTATAATTATATGAATAATTGAGATGCCAGTAAATTCAACAATTATGGAACAATTGACGTAGATCCTACCTAGCATGGAGCCATTTAGAAAATTTCGACTCAGATCCAGCAGTTCCAAGTTTGTCCAATCTCTTAGTTCTGAAACAAAATAAAGACCAAGACATTCCACCTTGAAAAATGACCATTGTTGAATACGAATGAGCTATTTTCATCTAAAAAACAAAGCAAAAGAAGAAAAATGGAAGAATCTTGCCTTGTAAATCCATTGAGCTAGACAAGTAATTGGAACTTAGATTTAGAGTTTTCAGTTTTTTGAGGTGAGTAAAATCTGTTGCAAATCAAAGAGACACAAATCAATGCACCTTTAATTAATATGAATATAGGATATGTACCGAGTTAAATCTGCATTTAAAGACAAAAGACACTGATATGAGACGTAGATGGTACCTGACAAGGAGCCCTTTAAAATGTTTAGACTCAGATCCAACAGTTCCAAATTTGTCAAGTCTTTTGTTTCTAAAATAGAGTCCAAGAGAATGTAAGAATAATAACAACAAAATGAGTGATAGCAATTGTAGCGGTTACTACATTAGAAAAACACACACCTTCAGCAAGAAAAGGGCCTTCAATCAAGTTATTGTGAAGAAAAAGAGTTTTAAGTGATGCTGCGCCATTAAGAAAGGGAAATATGCTGTCGTTGAATCGGTTTGAAGAGAGATCCAAAATTTCAAGGTTTCTTAATCTCCTTAAGCTTTTATAACCTGCAAACAAAATCCCATTAATAAGATATCATAATCACTTCAGTAATTACAGTTATACTTTTAAAACAAGAGAAATTGAACTGTATGGACTTAGGACGAATATGATACGTATTAGTTACTGTTCCTGGTAAGCTCCAATATATGCATGGATGAAGTATTGGTTGTTAGAATCAATCCAAGCAATATAGAGCTTTTAGATTTATTACTTCATAGTGTTCTTCACTCTAACACAATACTCAATTGATTGTAATAATTTTCTACATGGTCTAGACATCAGCAAACTAACGCTGTGAAAACTTTAAATACCTTCAACATCATCAAAGAAACCATCAAATCCGTTCTGTTCGACGGATAGGCTCAGATTTCGAATCTCTTCAAAAGGATGTAGTAATGAAATATTTAGGGGAGAACTAAAGTCTTCAAACATCATGTCACCAATGGAGATCCCGATAACCCGACCGCTTGTACGATTGCACTCAAGGCCCTCCCACAGACAGCAATTGCTTTTTGTATCATTAGTCCAAGTTGGTTGAACAGTGTCGTATCCCCAATCTACACTCAGTGAGATAAGGTATTTCTTGAGCTCCAACAAAGCTTTTCTCTCTTTCTCAATGTAGCTTTTGCATCCATGTAGCTGCCCCAACAGTAATATCACCCATATCAAGAATTGGCCCAAGAAAAGCTTTCGTTCCATTGTTAATAAGATATATAAAAATAAGCATAAACTTCAAAGCAATTTTGGAAATGGTAGTTTAATGAAAATTCTCACACGGTTTTAAGAATTCAACACGATACGTACGAACGCATACTATCAAAAGGTTGAAGTCTCTACAAATGAAAAAACTTTAGGCGTGTAGTTATCGTTTACTTTGAATTGTCTTCGTCGAAAACACCTATATGTGTGGCCTAAGACCTATATATATTCCAAGAAAGCAAGTGAAGTCAAGTCTGTGGTGCAATATATCTACGCTTTGTTCTTATCCATTTCAATTTTTCAGGTTTTTTACTAAGAACGTTGAATTTGTTCAGCCCAAAATTAAGACGGAAATAGATATATTATTACTTTTGAGACTTTAGTAAGCTTTAACTGTAGTTATCGAAACCAGACTTTGAGTCCATCTTCATATCTGTGGTTTCCGGATGTACAAAATGATAATCGGTTGCGAACATTCTTTTCAATAAAATGGATGATCGATTTTATGGGAGAAAGTGCAGTCTCCATTATGCCTGCATTTCTGTTTTCTCCAAGTCCTTTGCATGAGAAATATAGAGATAGATGAAACACAAAAATTATAAAACGCAGAGCATTTTTATCGTTATTAGAAAATTTGAAAAGTTACAATATACTGTGTTACTTTTGACCAATTGATTCCATCAAATGGTACAATATAATGTGTTACTTTTGACCAATTGATTCCATCAAATGGTAGAAACACTTAAGAGGGTAATATTTAATCTAGTTTCTTTTCTTAAAGAAAAATATTAAATCTAGTTATTGAAATGATTCATTTTTCATATTCTAGATGATTTTAGTTGAACTGAAAATTTACTATGTTTTTAGTTAAACCATTCTAAAATCTCGTCCAAATTAGGTTATTTCCATTTTTTTAACTAAAAGTCTCTATCCCAATACTCTAAAATTACGTAAAGCATCATAAAATTTACAATTTTTTTAATACTATTGTATTTCAAAGTAATTTACCAAATAACAAGTTTAATCACTGAATTTAAAATTTAAAATTAGTGTTCCAACATGTATAATTGTGTTTCAACAAGTAACCCAATAATTTAGGCTTACCATAGGAGTACACGCCTCCTTATATATACACACGTAATTAATATAAATACTAGGGTGGACGTTCGGGTATCCATTCCGGTTCAGTTCGGATCCATTTGGATTTCAGATTTTTGGACTAAATATTTTAGTCCCATTCGGACATTTATAAATTCCGGTTTGGATTCAATTTGGATGTTTGCGGGTTCGGATAACCCATTTAATTTTTTTTTAAATTCATATATATTTTAAATTTCTCTAAAATATAAAAATATATATAACATATATATTTGAGTAATGTATGCCAAAAAATCTAAATTAACATAAAAATTGATTTGGATTAAATATTTGGATAATAGATATCTTAAATATTAAAACAAAAGTCAATGCCTTAATTTAATGTGTGATTTTTTTTTTTTGAATTTTGGACCATTTTTAAAAAGATTATTAAATTTTACATATCATAACTAATATGATATATTTTCATATCTTATTTTATTTTAAATACAAATAAATATTTGAAAGAAGATTCTAACAAAATCTTTTTAAAAATCTTTTTAAAATACAATTTCGAAAATTAATAAATTAAAATTTTAATTATCATCAAATATACTTAAAAATCTAATTCATGTTTAATTTATAAAAAAAAATTAAAAATTCTGTAAAATACTTTTAACAATATCCAAAAAAATTATTTTCTATTATGTAGGTCCAACTTAATTTATTTTCCACATAAATTTCAAATTTAGAAATAAAAATTACTAATTTATAAATTTTATAGTAATAAAATTATAAATCACACAAACATTACTATAAAGTTAGATAATATATAACATCAAATTATATTACTTTATTGATAAAGTTTATTATTTTACCTACAACATTTTAGTTTTCAAAAATTCCGCACGGTCGTGCTGGTCGAGATCTAGTTTTAATTATTTCTGATGTTTAACTATTGTTTTGCTATTTCATATATATATTTATTTTTGACTATTTGTATAGATTTTGGATATTAAATCTAAAAAATAACTAATATATTCAATTATATTTGATTTTCGGTTCGGATAGGATCGGATTCGGTTTCGGTTCTCTAGAGACAAAATTTTTGAATCCGTTCAGATCGGATTCGGTTTCAGTTCTCTAGATACAAAAGTTTTGAACCCGTTCAGATATTTCATCAATTTCGGTTCGATTTTGATATTACTTTTTCGGATCGGATTTGGTTTGATTTTTTGCCAAGCCCTAGACCACACTATCTATACTATTATTTAAGAAGTAAATTTGCTTAGTTGTCATGTTCTCCATAAGTTTAGATAATTTTGTTTATTTATCATATTTTTAATATTTATATATATTTTATTTATAAATAAAACGAATTTATATGAATATATTATATTTTTAGTAAATAAGATAATTCTTGTGAATTGTGTTGTTATCTTGAAATATATTTTTATATATAAAACTTAAATTTTAAATTAAGATATAAACACTATTATATTTATCTAAAACAAATTTATATTAATAATTTAATATTTAAATATAATTAAAAAGAATTTATAATAATAATTTAATATTTTTATAAAATAAGATAATCATTATGGATTATGTTGTTATGTTGAAAATATATTTTCCTAATATAAAACTTAAAATTAAGATAAAATTATATTATTAATAATTAAATATAAATCATAATTAAATATAAATCATAATTAAATATAAATCATCAAAACAATTATTTAAAAAGTGAATTTGTTGATTTGTCTCATTGATCCTAGGTAATTTTGATCATTTCTCAGAATTTCTATAAATTTTTTATTATTGATTATATAATTAAAACTAATTTATATTAATAATATGATATTTTAGAAAATAAGTTAATTCTAATGTATTATGCTGTTATCTTGAAAAAGATATTTTTCTATTATAAAATTTAAAATTAACATGTAAAAAATCTATAAATACTATTTAAGAAGTGAATTTGATGTTTGCTGATTTGTCATATTTTCCATGATTTTAGATAATTTTGATAATTTATCAATTTATATAATTTATTATATATTTAAAACAAATTTATATTAGTATCAGATTCTTAGAATATAAAATACTTCTTATGTATTAGTTTGGTGTCTTTAAATATATTTTTCTATTATAAATTTAAAATTAAGATATAAAAAGTTATTATTA